AAGTTTAATCAGCAGTAGTCAAATCAAATAGTAGACTGGATCTATTGTCAAAAATATTTAAATGCAAAACCAAATCATACTTTAGACAATTGTACATAAGCTATTTAAGACCATATCTTGCAGGGCCGTGCCGTGGCATGGAGCAATGGAGCAATCGCTCCAGGCGCCTGAGCCACGAAGGCGGTTTTCAAATATTTCACGTATGTTCATTTACATCTAAGAATATTATTTTTCTGATATGTAAGCAACTCTTTATGTTTTTTCCTTTTTTTTTTTACTGATAATAAAGTGTAGTGTAATGAATAATGATATTTTCATAACAAAAGGCGCCTATTAGAAATTTATCTTTATTATTGTTTGTGTAATTAGCGAAAAAAGTTTGAACGTTCGAACTTGAAAATGTTCGAGCTAGCAGCACTTGTTATAACAGTATACCTACAATTGTACTTGTAGTTTATATTAGGTTTTAACAAATCATAATATAATTAAATGATAATAATTAAAATCCATGTTTGGAAATAAAAAGAAAAAGTCTGATTAGGAAAATAAAAAACAAAAGAAAATGAACGTAAAAAAGAAACAAAAGAAAATGAACGTAAGAAGCAACCAAGTTCTATATTGTCATTTGTTCAACAATCGTGCTTATCAAATATAAGCCAAGCTACAAGCAATATTGATCAACCAACAATTAAAAAAATGTGTTTCGATCAAAGCACAATCAACAGCATAAACGAATGCAATATGGGTAAATACTCACCTGACTGGGAAGTCAGGTCGGATCACGAAGCGGAGGAAAAGGTTTTATTAGATCTTCAATTGGTTTTAGTAGATTGTTAATGTAATGGCACATTTTGTAAAAGGTAGCAAAACAGTTTTTTTTAAAAACTAACCAACAGCAATCAATGGAAGATCAAAATACTGAAGAATTATCAACTATCCTTCTCAAGAAAATGGCGAAAGTATAAGCCGGCGAGATATCCGAAAACGTAGTTATTGAATATAGTAGTGATGAACTTACCGATAACGATGAACAAGTAAACGAAAGCCAAAAAATATGCTGCAGCAGCACGAAACAACATAAAAAAAAGAATACTCCCACGAACATTCATTTGCGAAATTAAAAAACACTTCTCATTAAACGATATCCTAAATGCACTTGAATACGAAAACCTAGATGAAGAACTCGAAGGCATACAATTCCTTAGAAGAAATACAGCAATCGAAATCGTTATGAAGATACATGAAGCCAAAAATAAGCTCCTTAAAAATGGACTCACTATAAATAATTTCCATCATACGTTTAAAATGTCTAATGAAAACCGAAGACAAAAAATAGAACAAGAACAAACTCACGTCTCGGTGTTCGGCCTCCCCATTGAGGCACATAGTTTCAAAATTGGAGAAGTTTTCGTAACAATGGGCTACGGAAAACACATCTACACAAAGCACGGCCTTTTATAATAACAGGCCTTGACGTTGCGCAAATCGCCGTAAAAACTAAAGGCCGATTAAACTTTCACTTACAAAAATATAGATGTTTTTATATTTGGTAGGGCGTAATGGCAGTCTGTGTTTTCTAATAAAAAATCTCTAATAAAGACGGAAATATTAAAAAAAAAACCCAAAAAATTGTTAAAAGAATTATATTTCAAATTTCATTAAGAGTATTAATGTAATATTAAATAGTAGCAATAATAGTAATAATAATATCAGTAATAGTATTAATAACAAGAAGAATCATAATAATATATATAACTATATATTAGAAAGATAATTATATATATATATATATATATATATATATATATATATATATATATATATATATATATATATATATATATATATTTGCTTACAGAAACATAATTAAAAATAAAAGGTAACAAAAATCACCAACAATAAAAAAAAAAAAAATTGATTCTTGCAAAAAAGTTTTATCAATATATCTCAACAGAGTAAATATTTACAAATCCAAACATATCGACAGACATTAAGGCTAAAGCGGAAATAAAAAACATAACAAGTAAATAGCATAAATTAGAAAACTAATTTTCACATAAATTATGACAGCTTTAGTACTTTCGTTTTAGATTCTTTGCTACTGCTGGGAGTGGTAATTATTGCATAATTCTTTAGCAAAATATTAGAATATACTCTGCATTGTTTTTTTGTGATTTTAAATTTATATTTAGCTGCAATGAACTGAAACTGAGTAACACAAAATGTTCTTCATAAAGGGCCAGTAGCACATTGAAAAAACAAAAAGCAAAATATTGACCATTGGACTAGAGTATCTGAAGGAATTTCAAGTCCGCCTCTGTTTACGCTGTTCAGACAACTTCCATAATTATAATAATAATTGTTAGTGTCATCATGAACCTTTATTTCGCTTTTTTGCACATAGCCAGCTATGTAAACTATAGCCACTAATGTAGATTTTGTTAATTGAGCTTTCAAGATCATGTATATTATCCAGCAGTTCTTTTTCATCAGTAAAAATATCTCTAAAACATGTGTCACAAGTATGACCATCAATACCATCAACAGGAATGTCAAGTTGTAATATCAATTTAGTATGTTGAATATTAATTTTTTCAATTACAGATTTAGCGTTTATAAAGTACCTCCAGATCCCTGTCGAAGTTTAGAAAAAGGTTTTTCAAGTGGATCTGTTGTAAACCAACCTAATAAAACATACTTCGCTCTATTACTCAACAAAGTTTCTACAAGATCAACTAGGCCATAACATGTATGCGCTATTGCATTGCTAGTATCTAGAGTAAGCTGTTTTACACGCTTACCTGTAGGTTTCATATAACTTGACAGTTCAGCAATATATCGTAGCAGTTGTAACTGTTGATCACCAACAGAGTGGATTTCTCCACATAATTCGTTTCTAAACCGAATGCCAGCGCCAGGTGCTTTGACATTTACAACATTCCAAAAAGAAATAATTTTTTCAATAAATACAGCAGTACCTTCAAATGCTTTATTTTCAATCTCTGGATGTGTTCTTAATGTTTCTTCGCAAAAAACAGACAAACAAAACTTTACAGATTGTCTCTCTATTGGTTTTGGATAAACTGATTTAGCTGTAAGTTTAGAGAGTTTAAAAAGACTATTGCATTCAGTTTTATATAAAGTTTCTAAATTACTCCATTTAGCCAAAGCTAGTTCTCCATTGTTCAAAAATTGAAGCTGGCCAGTCTTTTCTGTTAACCAATTGTTTCGTATAGATTTAAAGAGATGCACATAATCATACAATAAATATATACCTGATGTTGTTAACCATGGTTTATTATCAACTGTTTCAAACATTTCAAAAAACCTTTGATTTACACGGTTACCATCAGTAATTATTGCCAGTGTTTTACTACTTTCAATATTATTTATTGTATCAACAATTTGTTGACATTGAGTAAATTGAAATTCAGAAGAAAGATTTGCAATAGGTTGAGCTCTACATATAAATTCTGGACCACCAAAAAGACATTTAATCATAAATGATAAAATTGTTTTAGCTAACTTTTCAGGGTAGTTTACTGCTTGACCAAACAAAGCACCTCTTTGGTAAAGTAATGAAGCTTTAACATAAACCTCATCAATTAGTAGTATGAAAGTTTTTTTCAATGGATCTAAATTCATAAAAATACTATTTACAAAATTTAGGTCCTCCATCGAGCTTATTTTTGAAGTCAATCGTGTTAAAGTGCGTATACTTGGCAACTTGTAGTCAATACATAAACGATCATATAAACTTCGTCGCATAGCAAAATACTCATAAGCTCTACATATAATATCTGGAGTATATAAAACTTCACCAACATTAACTTTTCTCATAGAATTAAGGTGCTCAAATAAAATATTTGACTGATGCGAACTTTCTTTATTTTTTAAAAATCTAACTGCTTCAAATAAAGCTGATTTTGTTTTTATTAACTTTAATTTGTTTACAGTTAAAGATGAAATATTACAAGTTGTGCCATTATGGTAAGCTACAAATGAATAATCATCGAAAATTTTTAAAATAAATAATGGAACACTAAGTTTGAACATTTTTGATTGTATGTGTAAACTTTTTTTATTAAGCTGGAAAACAATAACATCGTTATTATCACTTAACAAAGATTGAATATCGGCGGACTTGTACACGACGCACCCCCTATGCAATATTAATAATCGTGACCAAAACTGTCCCAATTCTTACGGTTAAATAATAAATGTATATTTCGTTGTGTTAATCCCTATTTATTAGTCAAAGCATTTACATTTAATATTATTCATCACTTATGATCAATTGAAGTAATTACACTTTAAATAATTAAATTAATTAATTTTACTTGGTCAGTAAAATAGCATTTTCGATAAAACGTGTTTTAAACTTAAGGGGGTGCGTCGTATACAAGTCCGCCTGAATATCGTCAAATATAAGTTGGTAGAATGTTTCGAAAACAACTAGTTGGTATATATTTAAAAACAGATGGAGGATTTAAAGGCCGTTGCTTCCCATATTTGCTTTCAAAAAGTGCATCATCTGGCCAATGCAGATACTACTGTATAGTCTGAAACAGGAAAACCAGTTCTTGGAATAGCATCACTCCATCTTTTTTTCTCCTCTGGATTCTTCGGGAATTTGTAAATTGATATTTTTGTTGTAGTTGAGTAATAGTTCGACTTGCAAAGAGGTACGCAGCATTTTAAAGGCATTTCAATTATTAAAATATCTATAATAATTATTAAAATATCTGTAATAAGGCTAATATTAACATCTTAAACCTAACAACGTCTTGAAGTTGCGCTATCTAATTTATAAACCAATCAAATTTAAAAAACTTATTAAAAAAGCGTGAACGCAAAACTTTCGTCTAACGTTAAAAGAATGAAATGTAAACACAGTATTAGATATCGGCCTTCAGTTGCGAAGGCCGTGACACAAAGCCAATAATGCGGGCAAAGGCATACCATACTACTTCGGCATATTGGTAGCTGTGATGACTAACATGCCAAGACCAATGCCAACCAACTTAAACATCTTGGGTTACAATATAAGAACCAAGCACAACGGCCAAGAAAAACAACACAACAACGAAAAAACGCAACAACAGTCCACAAAAGAAGATCCTACAACTCAAAACTTCCAACAACTTATAAATCAAGAAAATCCAGAGGATAAAACAAATGAAGAAAACAACGAAACAAATAAAACAAACGTTATCAAAATCGAAGCAAAAGATAAAAAAGAAGAAAAAAAACAACAAACCATACCAACAAACGAAACCCATCAAGAAACAACTAAAGAAGAAGAAAGGAAGAAACAGCTGACAAGAAGGAAAGATTTCTACTTTGGAAAAGCGACGACGGACGAAGAAGCAGAAGAACAAGGTAACACGAAAGATACAGAACAAGAGGAAGAAGCGGAAGAAAGTAGTCGATCAGAAGAAGCGAGCGAAAGTAAAGAAGAAAAAATGGAAGAAGCGTGGCAAAAAACCATATTTAAACGAAGCGCACCTCCACCGACACCACACAAAAACGAAAGAAAAAAAAGGATAGAAGCGAAGAACGAAAAAGTTTTTATTATTTTTTCTTTAATTTTTATTAACGACTTTTTTTAAATATTTTATTTTTAAACGAACATTATTATATAAAAATGCTCAACTCTAAACCACCCGAAGCAAGCGTTCCAAAAAAGAATGTGCTTTTTCTTACATTCTTAATTACGGAACTCCTACGTAAGGGTAGAAAAAAGCCTTGATACTGATAAATGGATATTTTAAATATTTTTTCAGTCAATGTGGCTGGCTTAATAAATAAACAAAAACAAGAAACAGTTTTAAATAATTTCAAAAAACTAAATTATGATTTCTATTTTCTACAAGATACTCATCTTAACAAAATACAAAATGATGAGTTATCAAGAATATGGAAAGGCAGCGTATTCTCCTCTGCGGGTAAGACTCGCACAACAATTATTAGCAAACACGAGCTAAAAGCTTACGAAATTTTCGAAGACAAAAAAGGAACTTTTAATTACGTCTTAACAAAATATAACAAACAAAAAATTCTTTTGTTAAATGTTTACGCTCCCTCGGGATCAGAATTTGCGAAAGACAGAAAAATATTATTTGAATTAATTGAAAGCAAAATAGAACTCATAAACTTAGAAAACGCTTTAATAGTTATGGCGGGAGATTTCAATATGGTTCTAAATGAAATCGACAGGTACCCACAAATCTATAGAAAAAAATGTCAGTCGACGGAAAAATTTAAAAAACTTATAAATAAACTAGAAGTAGAAGGCACGTGGAGACTTTTCAATCCAAACAAACAAGAATTTACATAGAAAGCCACAAACAATGTTTCTTATTCACGACTTGATAGACTAGATACATAAGTAAAAAAATAAGGCAATACGTGAAAATAAAACACGAACCAATGGCGCATTCCGACCATAACAACGCGTGCGTTGCCTCAATTAGCCTCGATAAAGCTGTAATAGCTAAAAGTTAGTGGATTTTCAATAATAAATACTTAAAAAATCAAAACTACTTAAACCAAATAGAAATTATTATCAAAAATAAAACAACTCAAAGCATAGAATCAAAAAAAGAAACGTGGGAAAAACTTAAAGAAGAAATAAGAGAACACGCAAAAAAATATTGCAAAAAAAAGCAGGATTGATGAATATAAACTAAGAGAAAAATTTGAAAACGCGGCAAAAAAAGTACACCTAAACCTGCGCATGCAAATTCTCTGCGCTGACATTAAAAGCAACCTAAAAAATTTCGAAACAAACAGGGCATATGGCGCAGCAATCGGAGAAAAAATCAAATGGCGAATTGAAGCCGATAAATGCAGTCGCTTGTTTTTTCAACTAGAAAAACTAAAACCGGCAAAGCAAATAATAACAAAAATTAAGGATAAGAACAACAACTTGAAATTAGAAAAAGACGAATTTCTAAAAGCTTTTGAAAATTATTATTAGACCTTTACGCAAGTGAAAAATGCGATGAAAAAAGTCAGAAAATCTTTTTCTCTGAAACATCTGCTGTTAAAAAAATAGTGAAATGATTTGCAGTCAAAAAAGTGAAACGAGCGAAAGCCAAAAAAAGGCAATAATTACAAGTTTGTATAAAAAAAGAGATAAGACGGACATAAATAACTGGCGTCCAATCTCTCTTTTAAATACAGACTATAAAATCACAACAAAATTGATCGCAAATAGGCTAAAAAAGGTGCTACCCCTGATTATTAGGGTGTCTTAAAAAGGTATCACATATTGAATTTTGATATGCGGAGTACTGCATTCTGCGTCATTTTGAAAATAAAGACGAACAAAAAAAAAATCTCTAGCTCTAGCCGAAGGTTAGTTACGTCAATTTCCTTTTTTTTTAATATATAAATTTTGAGATAAAATTGAATGTTATCTTAATATAAAAATAGCAATTGTTACTTAAAACAAAAGAAAATTGTTGGTGCGTGTCAAAGCAAGGACGTATTAATAGATGGACGTTTAACGTATTGTTTAAAAGCCAAGATATCCGCGCTATTCATTGTTACAAATAACGATAGCAAAACAATAGAGATCTATTTTTACTTGATTTTGCGTCGAAATAACGATAGTCTCGCCTAGCCTAAGAAATATTTAAACATTCTATAACACTTAAAAACTCTAAAAAGTTTTTGAATAAATAAAACCTTTTCATTGTATGATCTAAAAAATATTAAAACAAAATTGTAAGTGAGACAAAATTTCCGACAAAAATGAGATATTTAAATACTTAAAATAATAGTGAAAACTAAGTGTAGGGAATAGAGACCACAAGTAATCGATAGTTCAATCTATATATGATCTACAGTTTTAACTACAACATCTAGAAAATTCGTTTCACTTTGCAGTATTCATTCTTGCAAACTAAATATCACTATTTTACAAAATATGATTTTTGACGTCTATGTTTTATTAATAAGTTCTTATTAAAAAGCGCTCACGTATCAAATTTGACATTTTAAAACAGATGATATATTTCTGATTAATTAAAATACATTAATTTTAAAAAAAAGTTAGAATATTGCACTTTTTAAAAAAAGTAGTTAGAAAAGTGAAATTATCGGAAGAACGTCGGTTTACTTTAATAAATTATTCAGAAAAGTGACACTAAAAATTATAGCTCGCATAGGTTTTTGTTTACTCGCGGCGCCTCAGATCTATAACAATGGGTTAAACGTCCGTCTAATAACACGTCCTTGATCAAACAGGTGAATTAGCGTGCTATGAATTTTTTTAATTTCATTGTAAAATAACTAATTGAGTTTAGAGATGAGTTCACTTTTAAATGAGATAAAACAATACATTTAGCATCATTTTTGCGAATAATAGTAAAAACGTCAATGTTTTGACCTTGAAGCAATATTTTAGTGTGAAAAGTAAAAAAAAAAAATCGGAGATCAGGTTTATCATTTAATTTCAAAAGAAATAAAAATTAATAATAATACAAATAAAAACCTATATTTTTAACTACAAAATATTACACAACTAAATAATAGTATTAAGATCTTTCTTTGTAGCCTTTTTCGATGTCTGCTGCCGGTTTCTCTGGACAACCTAAAAATATAAATATATTAAGTAAATATTATATATTAACTATTCACATTATACTTGCTAATAAGTGCCAATTATATTGCGTGTATATAATAAAATACCTGGATAGTATCCTGTAGCCTATCTTCATTGTGTGTTCTCTCAACAAAATCTTGAATCAATTGATGTGATGTTCTGCACGGTCATTTACAACTGCAAGTGTTCTTACGCACTTTGAGAAGTATGTAAAAGACTGAGAGGTTTTCTCACTTTCACATGCTTCGATGCCTTTTTCTTTTCAGAGAAGAAGTGTTTTTTTGGAAATATCCAACAGCAAAAACAAAAGATAGGATAAAATCATCTAGTTTAGACGTATGAACAATTTCAATAATAGATTCAGGTTTCTTTTTAATCAGATCTTGCAACACCGGGACATCATAGGAAAGCAGCTTGTTTAACATATTGTTCTTAAACTCAACTTTCAGTTCCTTATCAGCAAGAGCAAAAAATACTTGTTGGGGGACAGGTATCAAGTGTGACGGCTAAGGCTTTGGTAAAGAACCTTTCCTACAACTGCAAATTCTTTAAGCTCATCCATTGTTTGTAGCTGAAAAGCAATATTGAATGCCATCAAATTATTCGATGGTGCTTGAGAAGCCATTGCGCATTTTAGAAAAAAGAAGCCGTGAAAAAATACAATGTAGTTGGTTGCAGCCTTTAGATTACTTAACGTTCTTATATTACTAGATTCAGAATCAACTAGGTAGTACATTTGAGTCATTTGAATCACCAGCAAGTAGATACAGTCTGCCATAAATCTTGCTTCATGATGAGCTCCCGGTTGTTTAAACGAGAAGTTTGGTAACTCAGCTCCTAGAAAAAATGCCAGAAGCTCACAAAGATATCTGTAATCTCCTCTTTGGAAAGTACTCTCACGAAGAGCTGTGATACAGAATTCTTTTGTATCCAAAGCAAGTTTATACAACAAAGAGTTAGGTCTAAAGGCATCTTGAGTCCAGTCAAATTTCACAATTCTCTCTAATTTGTTTACATCTCTGTAAATCTGCGGCCATATTTTTTTTGGAGAGTAACATATAGCTTCCTGCTGGGACCATTTGTTGGACCAAATATTTCCTTCATTACATGAGCCACATGTCTTTCATAGATGCCGTGGCGCAGTGGTAGCGCACTTGTTTCAGAAACGTAAGATCCGTGGTTCAAACCCCACCTCTGGACAAGTTTTGCGACATCGGTTGGGAAGGAGGCGTGAACTTCCTATTAAATGCTCTTTCGCGGTGCTCTGTGATAAGACCGTAAGGACTTCTTGGGGCACCTAAGTCAACATTAAAAAAAAAAAAAAAAAAAAAAAAGATGTGATGTCTACACATTAGCCAAAGAACCGGTCTACCTAGGGCGTATGAAACAATAATGCTTATAGCACCCTTTTTTCTCCCAGTGTTACTGGATGTTGTGTCCGAACACAATCCAATAATCTGATCAGACATCTCATAATATTCAAGCATAGCTTGAATGGCAGTAGCTTGATCACTTCCCTTAGAACTTTTGATTTTTAAAATGCCCAGAAGGAAGTCTAGCGGACCAGACTCTGGTGAAGATGTGCTTATGGCGAATCTATCCTCGCTTTTACATACTCCTTTTTCCCAATTGTATCTTTTCAATATTTTTGTGTCAAAGTGTACCACAATTTTCAAACCCCTTACTTTATCTAAATTTTCCTCCCTGATCATCTTTGCCTCAGACAACAGTATGGGTCTTCCTGTTTAGAGTTGATCTTGATATAGGGATATTATCAATATCAACACCACCAGCTTTGTAAAGAGAATTCAAAAGACACATACCTGGTCTGAATCCAATTCTAAATCTGGTCATAATTGGAATCCAGTTGTGAAGAACGTCTCCCAGACTTAATTGAAGGCAAACTTTCAAATCATTCTGAAATCTTTTTTGTTTTTTCTGGACTTTAGCAGGAAAAAACAAAAAAAGATTTGATTCTCACTATCTGTGCTTAAAAATTCTACTTCCAAATGGTTACTTTCTTTTTTCTTATTTTTTTTCCGCATACCTTTGGATCTTTTCTGACATTTTTAGAAGTTTTTCCTGTGCTCTGTGAACATTTTCACTAAGTATTTTATCAACGTTGCCAAATTTAATCATATCCCCTCTGAGACAATGCCTCAAAAATTTTATGTCTTCACTCTTAGCCTCGTCATCCCTATTTTTATCAATTTTAATTAAATCATATATGTTTGATTTTTGAATATAAAAAAGAGCACTACTCTCTTTCAAAAATTTGTCAACCTTCTTGTTGTAGCTGCCCTCGGGCAAATCTTGCTTAAAAAGTGTTTTAAGCATTTTTAAAGTGTTTGCTCGGTCACAGTGAAAGTATCGCTAAACCCAGCTTGTTCCCACAAAGTGACAAGCTCGCTCAGAATACAGACGTTTGTATTTAACTGCTTGGTTTTCTTTCCGCACCCTCCGTCAGCAAACCTGGAGCATCTCAAATAAGTCTTACCAGAAGCAACTGGGCAGCCAGTTTTGACGTTGATCTGTGTGGTACTAAAACATTTTAAAAATTAGTTAGTTATTTACATTAATTACGTTGGTTAGTTACTAATTTACCTTGTGTTTTTGTCGAGATTAAGCCAGTAGTACCTTCTGAGCATTTCTCCATTTGTGGGAAGTCTATTGGGGGCAAAACTCTGCAAAGGAAACCCAAGCAAATAAAATTGTCTTCCTTGTAATCTTCGACGTGTTAAGAATATCTGCTTTAAGTGAATAAATTATCTGATTGTCGCGCTCTTGGTCTAGATGCATTTTCTAAAATCAACTATTTTTCATTTAAAATAAAATCAGAATAGTTGGATGCACAATGCATTGCACATTATATTGGACGAGTTTTTTATTATTATTATTTTTGATTATTATCAATGAAAAAAAAAAGACTAATATATTAAAATAATATTACAATATATATTACTAATAAATATTATACACAAACAATAAATATTATACTCTTAATAATCTACTTAAACAATAAGTTTGTGTAATACCTTTCTTTTTTATATATATATAAATTTAGTTAAGATAAAAATTTTAATATTTTAAAATTAATTAAAAATTATTTTATTTAACATTAGTAAAGAATTATGCCTCTAACCTAGTAGTTAACTACTAGGTTCCTCTAATATTTCATAACTAGTTATAACCTATCAGTAGAAATAAAAAACAAATATGAACCTACCCGGTGGGAAATCGGCTAGCGAATAGCTAGCTATAATCGTTACGATAAAGACAGCGATTTGGCCCCGAGGATCGCTAGCTTTTTTAAGTTAGCGAAAAGCTATCGATATTTTTAAAGATAAAGACAGCGATTTGGCTAAGAGGATAGCTAGCTTAATAAGCTGAAGATCCACTGGCTGTTGTACCTAGCGTCATATCGTAATAAAATCGTTGTCTAAAAAATTTTGATATGTAGCTATCAGCCAGCTATAGATTTGTAGATATTTTGTAGCTAGCTACAAAGCTGCGATATGTAGCTAGCGACACATTGCTACAAAATTGCAATGTTTAAAGTTCAATTATTTTCATAATTATAATAGACTCAAAACTAAAAATCGAATTTTTAAAGATGTTAAAGACATTTGCAAAAAATAAAATAAGAAAAAAAAAATCGCTGGAAATTGCTATGAAGCTAGTCGCTCGCTAGTCGCTAGCTCATTTCCCACCGGGTAGTAGTTATCCAGTTTAAAAATTTCCAAACAATTTTCTAATAATTATTTTAAGTGTGAAAAACTGAAATAATTTTAATCCTTTTTTATTTATATTTCATTTATTTCCTTTTTTTTAATTTTAGTTTTACAATAAATTAATTTTTTGTTGTTTTTTCTACAAATTTATGTACCTTTTAGTTCTTAACTACCCAATGCTGTGTGCTAGAAGGTTAATAACACAACTGCATGGAAGGCAGCTGAATATCTTTTTAAAATAAACTATTATAAATTAGTTTTTCAAATAGATATCACAAATTTACAAATGCTGCATGAACTATTAGCTGAGCTCTGTGAGTATACACAACTTACGGGCTTCTTCTAGAATTTTTTTAATATATATTTATATGTACTTTATTTTTTATTTGTTTGTACTTTATTAAAATTTAATTGAGATTTTTTTTTGATGCCATTTCAACTACATATCTGGAAATATATGAAATCAAAGCTTTTTTAGATTTATATAGAATGCTGCAATTTGGAATATCTGCATATTCGTGGTCACTATTAGTTGGTTTTCTCTTTAACAAATCATATTTTTTTGTTAATACAATTTTAGTACTGGAGTGAGAAAAAGAATTGTCTAAAATTTTTGAAATATGAGTTTTATCTCTGATGCTGCAGTTTCCATTGGAAAATTGAACCCTAATTCACATCTAGAGTTGTTTATATGTGGCTGTAAACTGTTAGCAATTGATATTATTGTTAAACACTCTTGCAGATCTAACAACTAAATAAGATTTCACAGCACAATAAAGAACTTGTTAGATGGTTTTGACTGAGCTTAAATGTTAAATAATTTCATGGCGAACCTTCTATTTCTACTCAGTCAAGATATATATTTTAATTGCTACTGAATGTCTAATGAAACCAGTTTTTAGACTAGGCAAATTCATTTGCGTAACAGTTAGTCTTTTTAAGACTAATGATATAATTGTATACCATGTCAAGAAATGGAAAACAAAGAGCCTTGCTGCATGCACACAATGCTGACTTGTACCCTTTGACAAATAGGTTTTGTGAATTTAATATGTGATGTAATCTATCTTTTATGCAAATAAACTCATCAACATGTTTATATAATTATTTAACTGCAACATACAGTTTAATAATATAAAAAAGTCAGCCTTTATATAAACTATAACATAACCATAATACTTAACACCAGGTAAACAGTATATATAACTTTAGTTAATGAGATATTTCTAAGAGGTATTTTAAATATTTCTATATAAAAAATTTAATAAATTTGTTTTTTCAAATAAATGTTTTTTTGAGGATGTATGTAATATGTGTTACATACATCCTCAATTCTATTGAGTGATTATCCTTTAAATTATATGAAATGATTATTTACTTTTTATTTGTTTTTATAAATAACTTTAATTTAGACCTGTTTTTTTTTTACCACAATAATTGATACTTTAGAATGTTTTATTCGAACAATTTATGCAATAATAGAATTATAATATAATTCTAGAAGGAACCCCTGAGTTTGTATACCCCTGTATACTGACAGCACTCAGTTAATAGTTCATGCAGCACTTGTACAAAATGGTATCTTGCTACAAAAAAATAGAGAATATAAAATTGTAGGTAGAGATGATTGCTGCTTACCAGGCTGTTATGTTATTAACCTTCTAGCATACAGGATCAGGTAGCAAAGAATTAAAAGGTACATAAATTAAACACAAAACTTAACTATAATTGTAAATCCCATTTAATAATAAATTGAATTACTCAAAAAATAATTACTTTTTTTTTCTCTAATATTTATAAAATTCATTTGTTTTCTTTTATTTTTAACAAATTTATTAGCCTTATTTAATTATTTTCTATCGTAGTTTGATAAATGCATGTAAAATCTATATTGGTTTCACCGCTAGGAACTTAAATCTCCGCCATCTTGTGAGGCCAATTTTGGCTTCAACTTTTTTCGGAAAAAACAATAGAATCCGCTATCCAAGCTAATGTGCCATTCATTAATAATGAGAAAAGTGAAATAGAATTAATAAGATCGAAAAAAAAAGAAAGCTTTAGCTAGAAGAAAAAATTGTAGTTTAGAATTATAAAAGTTCGAAATAAAAGTCAAAGTTGAGAATAGCAAAAATAAAAAAAGAAATATAAAAAAAAAAAAAAGTTGGAGAAAAAGTGAATTTTCTTACGATTTCCTTTCCGCACATGGTTGGCTTTCGTAAACCTCATCAATGAACAAAATATCTGCTCCGTCCTCGCCAAAACTTTGGTCGGTTTCTTTGCATAAAAGTTCTTCTTCGATTTGCATCGCTTCTATTTTTTCCAAAGTCGTGGTGTCCGTTTCCAACACTGTGGTGTTTGTAACCGTTTTAGGGGTTTCACCCTCCGACTGCCCGAGTCTTTTTCTAGTTGACTGAGTAACAGTTTTCGGTGAAATTTTTGTCTTCGTTTTTTTTTTTGAAGATTCGTGGACATTGATGTCAACACTGCAAACATTTTCATCAATGTTTACACTATCTACGTCGTTACTTTCAATTTTTTTGTTATTTACCTCAGTTGGTTCGTCAAGAATTGGGTGAAATGATTTGGTTAGCTTTTGTTGTATTATTTTCAGGTTAACCGACATATATCTAAGGGTGAGTCCATCGACGTTTTGGTAGCGAGGGAGTGGATTTTGACAGTTTTTCCAATTTTTTATGATGATGTTAACATTTCCTGTGTAAATGTCTTCACCCTGCACTTTAACTTTTTGTAAATAGAATGAGTCGAATTCACCTCTGCCGGTCGCAAGGTGTTTTCCAAGCAAGATAAAAGCGGCGGACCTGTACACGGCGCACTCCAAACTCGATGAAGTTTTTGTTTTAGTTTTTGCAATGCAAATTTAGTGTTGAGCATAAAAGAAAAACAAGTTCAATATAAATATAATGAAACATTTTCAATGTAAATATTATATTATAATTTTATGAATAAAAATAAATTTTCTCAAACATTTTTATTATTAAACTCATAATATACTCTGTTTACAGCTTCGTCTAGTTTAGACTACTTTAAATCACCCTGTGATCTAAAAACATACTTCAACTGTTTAGGTCCGCCATAAAAGCATTTTGACAACCATTTCGCAGAATACCTATTTGGATATTTTGCACAAGGACGTGCACTTTGCAGATGATAATGCGCTAGCATAACTTTTAGCCATGAAAACAAATAAAACAAAATCAAAACTTCAAAAATTTCTATAAAACTATCAATAAGTAAAAACCACAAGTAAGACTAAAAAGTTTATATTATTATTTTCCGCATACTTTCCAGTAAAAATTGATTTCCGCATTCATTACAATAATGTATGACTGGATTAATGGATATTACGATATATAATGTATGACTGGAAAGTAAAGTTCGATCACGAAGCGGCTTATTTGATCAATAAGTCTTACAGTATCTGGAAAATGTTAAAATTTAAAATTTGGATTCATCTTTTAAATGGCGACCTTTTTTAAAGCAAATAGAAACAGTTTTTTTAAAAACTAATGAATGTACTCAATCAATCTCAACGGATAAACAACAAACCGAAGATATGTCAGTATTTTTACTGGAACAAATGGCGAAAGCATCCGCAGGTGAATTAATTGAACAAGCTGAATTTAAATATAGTAGCGATGAACCTTCGGATGATGAATGCGAAAACCAATATAAAATTAAAAAACAACCGAGAAACTATGCTGATGCAGCAAAAACAGAACCAAAAAAACGAATCCTACCAAAAACTCTTATTTGCGAAATCGAAGAGAATTTTACCCTAAACGAATTTTTAAAAGCGATTGAAAAAGAAAATCTGGACGAATATCTCGAAGGCGTGCAATTTCTACGACGAAACACAGCAATTGAATTAGTTATGAAAACCAACGAAGCGAGAATAAAATTGTTAGAATATGGTTTAAACATCAACAACTACCAGCATGCCTTTAAAATATCTAATATAAATCGAAGGCCAAAAATTGAAGGAAAACGTTTAAATCAAACACATGTCTCAGTATTTGGCCGTCCAATTGAGGCCAAACAGTTCAATATTGGAAGTTTTTTTGAAGAAATGGGATACGGTAGACACGTCTACACAAAACCCGTAATGAGGACTACGCCAGGTAAAGGCACACCCTACTACTCTAGTAGTAGGGTGTGCCTTTACCTGGTAGTACTCGCTGTCATAGAAGACATGCCAAAGCCAATTCCAACCTCCCTAAACATCGTAGGCTATAAAATACGAACTAGGCACAACGGCCAGGATATACACAACCGCATAGAAAAAACACCTTGCGATACGATAAACGAAACCTATCAAGATAAAACCCATCAACAATCAACATGCGAATTAGAACAAAGCAACTCAAAACCCGAAGAAAATCCACCGAAAACAACAAATGAAGAAAACATAGATAAACTAACCTATTCAAAAAAGAAAATAAACAACGTAAATGAAAACAAAGAAGAACAAACAAAAGAAAAACAAGAAAAAGAAGAGAAGAAAGAAGCAACAAAACCAAAGAATAACGAAACTCAACTCGAGAAAACCAAAGCAGACGATTGGAAGACACTTGAAACAAGAAGAAAAGAATACTACTTTGAAAAACCAACGAACAAGCAAGCAGAAGAAGAAGAAGACGAGAAAAATCACACGAAAAACGCGGAAGAAAGCAAGCGAGCGGAAGAAAAGAACGAAAAGGGTCGAGAAAAAATGGACGATGACAACACGTGGCAAAAAAAACGCAGTGCACCACCACCCACTCCGCACAAAAATGATCGAAAAAAAAGAATGGGAACGAGCAAGCAAAGCAACACGCTGGAAAATGGCTAAGGTTTTCTTATTTTTTATTTTTTCCTTAATTTTTATTAACGATTTTTTTAAAACAAATTTACTTTTAGACAATTATTATAACACGAAACTATTAAACTCTGTGCCACCAGAAGTTGGCGTTCCAAATAAGAATGTGCTTAATAGCATATTCTTACTTACGGAACTCCTTCGTAGGGATGGAAAATGCCTTGACGTTGATAAATGGATATAATAAATATTTTTGCTGGTTTAATAAATAAGCAAAAACGAGATACAGTTTTGAGTATTTTTAAAAAACTAAACTACGATTTTTATTTATTACAAGATACTCATTTAAATAAGTTACAAAACGATGAGTTATCAAAAAACTGGAAAGGCAGCGTTTTTGCCTCTGCGGGGAAATCCCGCACAGGTGGGACAGCAATTATAAGCAAACGTGCTAAAACCATATGAAAAATTTGACGACGAAAATGGAATTTTTAATTATGTACTAACAAAATTAAACAAACAAAAAATTCTATTGTTAAACGTATACGCTCCCTCGGGACATGAGTTCTCTGACCGCAGAAAAAAACTATTTGAATTAATTGAAAACAAGATAAAACATATAAATTTAGAAAATGTTTTAGTAGTCCTGGCGGGAGATTTTAATATGGTCTTGAACGAAATTGATAGGCACCCACAAGTTTACAGAAAAAAATGCCCCTCGACAGAAAAACTTAAAAAACTAATTAATAAACTCGAAGTAGAAGACACGTGGCGTCTTTTTAATCCAGATAAACAAGAATACACCTATAAAGCCACAAATAATATTTCTTATTCTCGACTCGATAGAATCTATTTAAGTAAAAAAACGAGGCAAAATGTAGAGATAAAACACGAACCGATGGCGCTTCTGACCACTATAACGCGTGCGTTGCTCCATTACCTTAGACAAAATAGAAATAGGGAAAAGCCTGTGGATTTTTAATAACAAATACTTAAAAAATAAAATCTATTTAAATCAAATAGAAATAATAATTACCAATAAAATATCTCAAAAGGTAGAATCTAAAAAAGAAACGTGGGAAAGTCTTAAAAATGAACTAAAAGACCACGCAAAAAAATTTTGTAAGCAACAGGCCAAAAAAAGCAGGATTGAAGAATATAAACTAAAAAAAAAAATTTAAAAACGCAATTAAAAAAGCGCACTTGAACCCGCGCATGCAAATTTTGAGCGCTGACATCAAAAACAAACTTAAAATCTTTGAAACAAATAGAGCGTAAATCTTTGAGCGCGTCAATTAGAGCAAAAATTAAATGGCGACTTGAAGGCGAAAAATGCAGTCGCTCGTTTTTTCATTTAGAAAAGCTAAAACCAGCAAAACAAGTAACAACTAAAATTAAAGATAAAAACAATAACATTAAATCGGAAAAGGATGAAATTCTAAAAGAGTTTGAAAACTATTACAAAGAACTCTACGCAAGCGAAAAATGCGACGAAAAACATCAAAACTTTCTCTTTTCCAAAACATCCGCTATTCAAAAAATACCCAAAACTTTAAGTAAACAACTAGAACTACCGATAACAATTATAGAAATTAAAAACGCGTTGAAAACAATGCAAAATAACAAATCACCCGGAAGCGACGGCCTCACCATCGAATTCTACAAGCAAAACATTTATTTGTTTGGGGAATTGCTGGCCGCAGCTATAAACGAAACTTTTAGTAGCGGTGAAATGACCGAAAGCCAAAAAAAGGCAATAATCATATGTTTGTTTAAAAAAGGAGATAAGACAGATATTAACAATTGGCGTCCTATCTCCCTTTTGAATACAGATTATAAAATCATAACGAAGATAATTGCAAACAGACTAAAAAATGTTTTACCTTAGATTATAAACGAAAATCAAACGGCATGCGTACCGCGCAGAACAATATATTGCAATTTATCCTACATCAGAGATATCATAAGAATATCCAACGAAAACCAACTTGATGCGTCTATTTTATCCATTGATCAAGGTAGGGTTGTCCTCTTTCGATGATTCTATATATCATACAGGCCGAAATTTTCTCAGGGTATATAAGAGCAAATAAAAACATAAAAGGAATAACAGTAAATCAAAAGGAAACTAAAATCCAGCAATACGCTGACGACACAAACTTCTATTTAATAGGAGATGAGTCGATAAAAGAACTCGGAAGGGCTTTAGAGCTTAACGAGCGAGCCACTCGAGCCAAATTAAATGTAACCAAATGCCAAGGTTTGTGGCTTTGAAAAAACAAAACAATAAATAAAGAAAATTTTCTAAAATTTAACTGGGAAGTAAATACCCTTAAAAGCTTGGGTATCTATTTCTCCAATTTATTGAGAAAATTGTTGAAAATTTTCTCTGGAGCAACAGCTCAATTAAAACAAATCAAAAAGTTTCTAAACTCCCTATTAACCAGGGAGGTTTAAGCATCATAGACATAGGCGAAAAACTAAAATCCATCCAGCTAACTTGGGTGGCAAAAATTTTTAATCGCACTCTAACAGGCGCATGGAAAGACGCTGCGACGCATATTTTCAATAGTTATAGAAAAACTAATCAAGGAGAAAATATTTTTATCACAACTCACTCAAGCAGCGCAATTGATACCCTCCCTGTGTTCTACCAGCAACTAATTAAAAACTAGAGTCACATTTTTAACGGCGAGAGCGACATAACAAATATGTACATTGAGGAAATCCTCAACCAGCCCATTTTTTATAACAATTTTATAAGAGATAAAAACAACCAGACTCTAAAACCTAAAAAAGAAACAACTTTGAACCAAATATCTAAAATATCTGATCTTGCAAAGGTTTTTGTACCCGGATTCTTGGATTACCAATTAACCGGTCTAAAACAAACAACATTTAAAAAAATTAAAACCTCCATTCCACGAGTTTGGAAAACAAAAATCAAAAAAGAAAGTCAATCTTATGACCACAACAAATCAAATTTCACCTTAAGAAACTATATACACCCCCTAAAACCGGTTCTGATTACCGATTTAACATCAAAATCAATTTATGACTTTCTTATGAAAAAGAAATACAGTTTGGGTGTAACAACCCTATTTACTAGGTGGAACTCTGTTTTTGAAAAGAGCACGAGGGGAACCTCCTCAAAGGAATGGTCCCTTCTCTTTCAAAACATATTCAAAAGAAATAGTAATAATAAAGCAAACGAAATAAAATATAAAGCTATTCACTTTGTGCTACCGACAAACTCCATCTTTAAACGCAGAGGTCATGCACCTGATGACCTTTGTCCCCAATGTATGAAAGATAGAGAAACTCTATCTCACATGATATATAGTTGTGAAAAAGTGCAACCTTTAATTAAATACACAATATTTTTGCTAAATAAGATTTATCCTAGCAGTAAACCTTTTAAAAACACTTTTAAATTTTATCTTTTTGGTTTTGTTGAAAACGCGCCAAAATTTTATATTGGTAATTTATTGCTTGACGAGCTTTTATATTATGTCTATTCAATACGAATGAGAGCTTATCATGAGAGAAGTATGAGCGCAAGAATAAGCCTTTTAAAAGTATATCCAAAATTAAAAAACTACTTCAGATCGAACACGACATTGCACAAGAAAACAATCAATTGAACTCTTTTTTAAATGAAACTAAAGAAATAAGAGATATAAACGGAAACATAAAACTAGAAAATAAGTTAAACCAATTTTTGAATTAAATCAAAAAACCTTATACTTTTTGAAAGACCATAACTTTTTATTTTTTTATTTTTAATTTTCGCCTTTTCTTTTTACTTTTTTCTTACTTTTCAACTTTCGCTTATTCTTGATCCGCTCCGATTCTCGACTTGAAAAGCATAGAAAAACTTTGTAAATATTTCTATGTAATTCTTGTCAAGTAGTCCACAAGGCAATTAGCTGGCGGACTACTGAAATATAAACACAATACCATCAAAAATGTTGAAGTTTACATAAAAAAACACATCTAAACTTCTTTTTAGTATTTGTGTCAATAAGGTATGCACCATTATTACGAATAATGGCGAAAAGTTATGCTGGTGTTCTATCTTCATCATTTTCATCAAATGATTCTTATGCAAAAAATAATTTTGGAATTTTTAAATCTAACCTCTCTTATGATAATAGTAATGTTTTGATTTGTAAGTATGGTGATATTAATTTTAGTGTAAATGATTTTCTCATGGCGTTATCTGAAAAGAAGTTGTTAGCTTTGGTTTGGGGAGTAACTAGGCATTACTCCAACAAACTTTTTGAGTTTGCCGTTATTAACAGTTCCTCATTGGCTTTGTTTTTGGGAGCTGAAATCGAAATTAAAGGTATTCTTCTACGGTTCGAAGAAAAATATGTTCGTAAAGTTCACGTACTTGTCCAAAACATACCTATTGGAGTACTTAGAAATGGGTGCCAGGGTGCTGTCATTTTGCTAGGCAAACACCTTGCGATTGGTAGAGGAGAATTTGATTCGTTTTATTTGCAAAAGGTAAAAGTTCAGGGCGAAGATATATATACTGGAAATGTTGTTATTATAATAAAGAATTGGAAAAATCTCAGTCAAAACCCTTTACCAAGATACCAAAATGTGGATGGGCTAGCACTTCGCTATAAACACCAAGGACAACAAGAAACCAACTTACAAAAACTCAACCCAAACAATATACCCTTAAAAACAAAAACAGATGAATCAACTAACAACAGCGATAAAAACGAAATCAGTATTGACAATGCAAGTGAAGACATTGATGGCGGCGGTGACAGTGTCGACATCAATGTTGATGCAGAACATAAGAATAACGAAGCTCATTTAAAAATTAAACCAAAAATCACCCAATCAACAAGGAAACGTCTCGGGCAATCAGAAGGTGAAACCCCTAAAAAGGTTATTAACACAACAGATTTAAATCACAAAAATGCTATGGCAAAAGATATTATGCGTCGAGAAAAAGACAAGATTTTTCAAGACGACGAGGCCGACAATCTGATTATACATGAGGAATATGATTGC